CTGCTCCTGCTAACGTCCTGAGACCACCTATACCTCTAGTGCCTCAGCTTCAGACTCTCGCTCTCCTGTTGCCGCTGAGTTTCCTGACCTGTTCTCGGGCCTAGGTACCTTTGGTCCTCTCCACACCATTCAACTTCGCGATGAGGCTCCTCCATACTCGCTCTCCACTCCTCAGCGAGTTGCTCTGCCCATGGAGCCGAAGGTTATTGAAGCCCTCCGTCGCATGGAAGACGCTGGCGTCATTCGCCCAGTGTCCGAACCGACGGATTGGTGTGCCGGCATGGTCGTTGTGCCTAAACCAAACGGCAGCGTGCGCATCTGCGGTGACTTCACACGGCTCAACAAAGCCGTCAAGCGGGAACGGCACATTCTCCCTACCACGGACCATCTCCTCGCTCGCCTCGGTGATGTCAAGGTATTCTCCAAGCTGGACGCTAACAGCGGGTTTCACCAAATTCCGTTGGCGCCGGAGTCGCAGCTTCTCACCACGTTCATCACGCCCATTGGCAGATTCTGCTCTACGCGGCTCCCCTTTGGCATCTCCTCGGCACCCGGGTATTTTCAGAAACAGATGTCAGGTCTGCTCAGCGACCTCCCTGGCAACATCTGCATGATGGACGACGTCCTCACATTCGGCTCCACCCTCGAGAAGGAGGTCGACAACCTTCGACCAGCTCTGGCTCGTCTTCAATCCGCCGGTGTTACGCTCAACAGCAAGAAGTGTCAATTTCATGCCACATTGATTAAGTTCCTGGGCCACGTGATCGATGGCTATGGCATCCGTCCAGATCCAGACAAGATCCACGCGATCCAGGAGCTCTCTCCCTGCTTTGATGTCCATGCCGTCCGTCGTTTGCTGGGCATGGCCAACCACCTAGCCAAGTTCATTCCGGACTTGGCCTCCATCACGCAACCTCTCAGGTCTCTCCTCGTCAAAGGCACCCCGTGGCAGTGGGGTGCTGAGCAGTGTGCCGCGTTCGACCGCATCAAGATGTCACTGAGTAACGAGCCCGTCCTGGCCAAGTACTCTCCCACCTACCACACCACAGTATCTGCTGATGCATCTTCCTTTGGCCTGGGTGCAGTGCTTCTACAACGCCAGCCCGACGCGTCCGTCCGTCCTGTAGCCTTTTTGTCTTGCTCTCTCACACCAGCGGAAACGCGCTATTCGCAAATCAAGAAGGAGGCTCTGGCTGCAACGTGGGCCTGCGACCGGCTCTCACATTACCTCCTCGGCATGCCATTCACCTTTGAGACGGATCACAAGCCACTCATCCCTCTGCTCGGTACCCGTGCTCTGGACGACCTCCCTCCGCGGGTCCTCTGGTTTCGTCTACGGCTATTTCGATTCGACTACAGTATCATCCACACTCCTGGCAAACAACTCGCAATTGCCGACGCTCTGTCTCGAGCTCCTTTGCGCAGCACCGATGCAGACGATACAGCCACTCTAGAGGCCGAGACCGCTGCTATGGTGTCGTACGTCACTGAGACTCTGCCTGCCACTGCGCAACGCCTCGATGAGGTTTCAGCATGGCAAAGCGACGACGATAGCTGTGCTCGCATCATCGAGTATCTGCAGCACGGCTGGCCTGCTCCGGGCAACGCTTCTCCCGTGGTGCAGTCTCTTATAGAGCACAGTGCACATTTCAGCCTCACGGATGACGGTCTGCTTCTGTATGATCAGCGTCTCTACATACCTCCCGCTAACCAGCAAGAAATCCTGGCTCGCCTTCACCAGGGTCATCAGGGCGTCACCAAGTGCCGACGCCTGGCCCGCACTTCCGTATGGTGGCCATCGCTCTCGTCGGACATAGCTACTCTCGTCCAAACCTGTGACGAATGCAGTTGACACCGCTCTCAGCCACCCGAGCCTCTTCTCTCAACTCCACTCCCAGAGTTTCCTTGGCAACATCTGGCCGCAGACTTCTTCACCATCGACGGCCACTGCTACCTCCTCGTCATCGACTACTACTCTCGGTTCATCGAAGTCCTCGACATGCCCTCGCTCTCTACAGCTCGTATGGTCAGCCATCTCAAGTCGCTGTTCGCTCGCCATGGCATCCCTGACTCTCTAACGACCGACAACGGACCGCAATTCACCAGTGCTGAATTTGCTCAGTTCACATCCATCTATGGCGTCCGCCACGTCACCAGTAGCCCTCTCTATCCGCAAGCCAATGGCATGGCCGAGCGTGCTGTTTGCACGGTCAAGAGTTTGTTCCGTCAGGGCACTGATTGGCACCTCGCACTACTCGCGTACCGCAATACTCCCTTGGAGCATGGAAAGAGTCCAGCCCAGCTTCTGATGAACCGCCAGCTGCAGTCACTTTTACCTCTCTCTCCAACACAGCGACAGTCGCATCTAGTCGATCAGAGCGACCTGCGTGCCGCGGATCAGCGCTTAAAGGATCGCCAAAGCGCCAACCATGCCAGTCGCCATGCAGCCCGGACACTGCCGTCTCTGTGTCCCCAACAGCCTGTGTATCTACCTGATCATGCAGAGTCTGGCCACGTGATGAGCCAACCAGCCTTGGGCTCCTACATCGTAGCAACCCCATCGGGCCAGTTAAGACGCAACTGGCGGCACATTGTCCCAATGCCAACACCGCAACAGTTGCCGCCTGCTGGTCACTCCGCCGCTACTACTGTAACAGGTAGCCGAGTGGTAGGCGCGGTGCAATTAATACGAGTTATCTTTTATTATTATTCTCTTAGGTACACACCTAGGATATATTAGAAGTTAAATACGTACTACTTCCGTATTGGTCGGGCAGGGATACTACACCCTCCCTTCCTACAGTTAATCACGCCCTCGTGATTTTCAAAAATTTAGTGAAGAGTTATGAACACAGCGCCAGCCGGAAGATGGCAAATTATATCGGAAATGATAACGTTTAGAGTAGACAGAAGAAATGAACTGATAACAAATCATAACATAGAAGTAAAAGCACACCAGGTTCACACGATCTCTTGGGGTCAAAAGGGAAAGAATGGTCCTCTAAATAGGACGTGAAAGACAGCCAAATTTCTGCAAATTGCGAGCTCAAACTGCCAGGAAATTCACAATTTCAAAAAAATGCACTGCATCGTGGGAACTTACTCCGGTACACACCTGGAGTGTAAAAGGGGATTCTCACACACTTCGCTCACCAGGTTACTTAGGGGTAAACTGGGGCTCACCATGATCAGACGCCTACCAAACTAAACTGGATTCACACACTCGCATAAAGGAAGACTGAAGAGAACAGAGAGACTGAAGGAAGACAGGAAAGAAAATGCCATACCTGGAATCAGCGTTAGTAACCACGGCGGCGGCTGGAGTTACGGCGGAGGGCGAGCCAGGTTTTATGTTCATCTTGGTTGAGCCGGTCACTCAGAGCGGCAAGCTCGGCGTCAGACAAATGACCTCCCTCCTCGTCTTGAATCGTGGTCTTCACATTGTCGATAGCATCGCTTTGCGCGACGTAAATAGTGATGGTCTAGCCAGGAAGAGTGTTGACGAAAATCTACTTTCCACCAAGGAGACGAAAAATATTACCAAGTGAAGAGTGGACTCCTGCTGAATGTTGTAGTCACTCAGGGTTCAGCTGTCTGCCAACTGCGTGCCAGCGAAAATCAAATGCTGCTGGTCTTGGGGAATACCCTCCTTGTCTTGGTCAGCAGCCTGCATGTCGTCGTCCTCATCAGCTTCGCCATTACCACCGGTAGTATACATGTAGGTAGCGGGTCGCTTGGAATCGCCATCGAAGTCTCCAGTGGATGCCATGCGGAGGGAAGGGTGATCCACGCTAGCACCCTGACTGTGCAGCAAGCTAATAAGCATGGCCAGGCCCAGGAAAGCAAGAACCATGATTCTCATCTTGATTCGTCGCACGGAGCTGCAGCGGGTTGAGCCATGGTAGTCTGGGGGTCGAATCGCGTTGTTTTATTTTACAAAAACACACCGCTGCCACCAATGTAACAGGTAGCCGAGTGGTAGGCGCGGTGCAATTAATACGAGTTATCTTTTATTATTATTCTCTTAGGTACACACCTAGGATATATTAGAAGTTAAAGAAGAAGCGACAAATAAATGACTTTCTCTCCGGTGCACACCTAGAGGTTGACTACTTCTTCTTCTTGGTTTAGCTTTGTCGTTGCTAAATATCTAATCTTCCTCAAAACAGAAATGCGCAGCCGCTTTAATGCAGCAGACGCCGTACGCTTACATACGGAGATACACTAAATATACATCAGGCAAAGCTCCGTATTAGTTCCGTACTACTTCCGTATTGGTCGGGCAGGGATACTACACTACCGATCCTGATCCCCCAGCCAGTCAACCTTCTACTCCGCCGTGTCCTGCAGTTCCCAACTTGCCATCGACCCTTCCAGCTCAAGACCAGCCTGATAACTATGTCACGGCTCGCGGCCGTGTCGTTCACGCTCCCGATCGCTTCGAACTTTCGTCTCTCCGAACAGAATACTCCACTCTTCTGTCTCTCCCTCTCTTGCTCTGATCTACCACTGAACTCGCATCATCATTACCTCTTTCATCTCTTGCTCTGTTGTTCTACTCTTCTCTACGCTTTTCTCATGTGTATGAGTGTATGTGTGTACATGCGTATGCGTGTATGTGTGTACATGTGTATGCGTGTATGCGTGTATGTGTGTACATGTGTATGCGTGTAGGTGTGTATGCGTGTATGTGTGTATGTGTGTGTTCTTCTTCTTTTGCGGAAGGGAGGGATAGGATTATACATAAATGTTTTGCATTATTTGGTCTTCTCGTCTTGTCTTTCTCTTTCCAACTTTCTCTGCTATGCTCTTTCTCCTTTTTGAAGAAGGGGAGATGTAGTGTTGTCTTGTATGTGTGTGTACCCATTGTGCATGCCTGTTCTCTTATTTGTACTCTTCTCTTTATAGATCTAGACTATACGTTACGGTATCCCTTTGATGATTCATCCCATATCTAGACGTGTCATGCACTGTAGCGTACCCCCAAGTACTCTACTAGATCCCGATATGGAGTACCCGCGACTGTCTTAACCCTTTGGAGTCCATGGTTCGATTTCGAACCATGGGCATTTTGTATGCATGGGGGCGCAATCAAACTTTCGGTTCTCGGCCAAATCTTGACCAAAAACAATCGAAGGGTCTAGATCAGGGAGTAGTACAGTATTGTACTAGTCCCTGGTCTAGATGGTAGAGAAAACTCTCCGCTATCGCCTCGAACAGGTCCGAAGTTTCGCCGATGAAGTTTGAGTGGGCGGCGAGCGATCAAACATTTCGAATTTTCTGCGCTGCGTGCTGCGAGTCAGCAGTGCGTGAAAAAAAGCGATTTTCCCAGCTTCATGACAGGCGGCACTTGCCAGGACCGGCGCATGGCGAAGTCACGGCAAGGTAAGCTTCTACTCGAAGAAATTAGAACAGTTCCGGGGTAGATTCAGTGAAATGGCCACAGGAGACCGATATCGTCTCGGATCAGTCTGGAGCTGGACTCGCGTTTGGGGCGCGTTGTGGCGGACAATGAATAGTGCTCTTGGCGAGGTTGGGCTCATTGTATTTCTGTCATCAAGAGCTTTCCAACGAGCCCAAGATCTTCAAAATCAAGTAGAACCAAAGTTATGTTGGAAATGGAGTGCGCGCTTTCGTGACTGCCACAAATTCTGCGGAAGCAAAAAAGTTACGGACTCCAAAGGGTTTTAAAGCGGGATTAACAGAAGCTTTTTTGCGATGCGACACGCGATGCGACAGCCGCGAAACCGGGAAATCCCCAAATCGCAACCATCGCGGACCCCATGCAACTGCCGCAACAGGGCCATCGCGGAAGTTGAGCTTGGCTCAACTTTTGCGATGCGACAAGCGATTTGGCGTACAATGTTGGCCTTTTCTACAGCAAAGTTGTACAAAGGTTGCACTTTCTGACTGTATAATGGTATCTGGTTACAGTGATGGAGAGTTACTCTCAACTCGTTTCTATATTTTCTTTTCCTTTCTACAAAGGTCCAAGAGTTTCCTATAAATTTGTACAAGTTGTACCAAACCGCGCGAATACCATGGTGACGTACCCAAATCAGCACTTCTTCTGTGAATGGTATTTCGCGAGTTCGCATCGCACGCGTCCATCGCGTGTCGCATCGCAAAAAAGCTTCTGTGAATCCCACTTGAGGCCTCGTTTACACGACAACGATTGAAAAAGGTTTTTGTCAAAAACGTTTTCAAAAGAATACGTTTCCACAGATTTTGATAAGAGCGTTTACACGACAACGCTGAAAAACGTTTCAAAAACGTTTCAAACGAAAAACGGCTTCAAAGTGTTTTTCAATCGTTCCTTTTCGTTCTCGTGTAAACGGCAAAAACGTTTTACTAGTACGAGCCTTCTCTCTCTCTCGTACTCAAAACATGCCGCCGCCAGCCTGCGCCAGGTAGGCAAAGCCCGATTTTGCCAGGGAAGCTTCGATATTTTGCCGCATAATTTTTCTGGCTCATCGTCGATATTTTGCTTTCATTTTGCCAGGCCACTCGATATTTTGCTCCCTTTTTGCTCCAAAATTTGTGTCACGTGTGGGAAAACTGACCAAAAGTGGGTCAAGTGTTGGCAAAAATGAGAAAAAGTGAGTCACGTGTTGGCGAAAACGAGTAAAAGTGAGTCACGTGTTGGTAAAACTGTGCGAAAATGAGTCACTTGCACCGGATAAGTGTAAAATCTCCCAATTTCCAGCGAACAGTATGCCCCGGCGGATAATGCTAGTTATTTTCGGCAATTATGCTACTAGCACTGCTAGTAAAAGTGGCACATTATGCTAGTTTTAATGCTCGTTATGCTCAATTTAATGCCACTTTATAAGGGGTCGAAAAAGTGTCACGGTTGGACTTCACGCAACTGCACTAACAGCAACACCATTAACAGCTGCACAGTCTCGGACTGCTGTACTAGCTACTACATGACTGTCTCTGTAGTACTAGCACTTGTGGTGGAAGATGGCCACAGACACTATGTGTACAATCCTGTAGTTAGGCGCCAGGCGAGATTTGCGTGACCCCAGATTCTAGACTTGAACTTTGTTACTTGCCACCTAAGGCGCCGGTCACACATGCATGGCGCTTTTGCGACACCACCAAAGCTGCACCACAAAAGTTGGGATATCCCCAGATCACCATGGATACTGCGCCTGGCGCCACTGGCGCCACGGCGGCAATCTCAAAAGCGCCACAACCAAAAAATTGATGGCGAAACACAAAAGCGGTAGTGCAACTTTTGCGGCGTTGTCGTTGTTGGATCTCTTGGATCTTGGAAAAATTAGTTTTTCATCTCTCGTCATGAAGTGGACTGCTGACCGAGAGCAACTGCTCCTCTCCCTCTATTTCGAGGTCAACCATCCGACATGGGACTCGACTCAGGCGTCCACCGATGCTCAAGGAGCTTCTGCAAGATTCAAACGAAGAGAAATTGAACAACATGAATATTGAGGCAATCTCCATAGCTCTCCGCAGTCGCTGGTCACGACGTAGTCGGCGATTCTGGGCGTTTCTGCGATCCAAACCAGCGCAGGAAAGGAATTTTGAGGCTATAGTCTTTTTCAGAGAAAAGTTTTACGACACCTGTGGAGACCCGTGAAGCTGCGTGCGTACCAAAGCCTTTGCATGTGTGACCGCCGGCAGAAAAGAGCCGCAAAAGCGCCCACTGCCAGCGTGTTGGAGGCAGCCGCAAAAGCGGTGTCGCCGCCTGCATGTGTGACCGGCGCCTAACCGGTAAAGTCTCACTAGAGTGAGAGAAGAGCCTGTTATGATGTGCGGAACCTCTCTACTGACATATTGTACATGTCCTAGCTACAAAGCCTACAATTACTAGTATGTCATTGTACATGACTGATTGTGAGCCAGAGCACGCTAAAATATGACCACAGACCAAAAATTCGATTTTCAGTTTTTGTTCAAAAATGATCAAACACACCTAATGTTCACTATCTGAAAGTTTTGGATTGATCGGACATGTCTAAGTGCTGCTACAATGGTATTATATGCAGCACTGTTGAAATGGTGAAATTCTGTGTACAGCAATGGGATTGTCATTTTGCACACAGTTGATATGTCCCTTAGTTCATCCTTTCCTGGTCAGTTCCTCTGCCCAGGGTCTTATAGCATGAGCTGACAGGTACTCGGCCACATCAAAAATTCCTATAGGCAGCTGAGCTGGGTGTCCGAAATACCTCCTGTCTGGAGCGCACCTGGAGAACCGCCAGCGAAAACACGGTCAACATCTGTAGATGGCCGAAGAAGTTAGCACTCCACATCCTCTCCATCACACTCCACCTGTACTTTCAGATATACAGTATACACTGCTGCACACAGTCTTCCTCGACATACTCGACGTTGTACTCAAATTCCCCACACCAAAGCCCATCTGCACACGGTTTTCTCCGCTCGCCAGAGAATACTGCTTTCGCTGCCTACTGCTCGTGCTAATGATGTTCCGCATAAGGGTGCTCAAATTATCGACTTGAGCAAGTTGAGGGAGGAGCAGAGTCCATTGATTGTTTTTGCACTTGAAACCAAGACTGGCATTGTCCCGGATATGTGCAACGATGTCCATTCTGGCCAAATCATCGGCCGACTCGCCTCCCAAGTCAGTGCCGATGCCAATCGCTTGCCAGGTTGTCATCAGAGTAGAATTCCTGCAGACCGTGGGACTACCAGCATCAATTATTTTACGCTCGATGAAAGTGTCGCCCTCAAATGACTCGTCGCTGTAGCCATCATCGTCTTCCTTCTGTTTCCGACCCGAATCCTCCAAATATTTTATCCTGCGCATGGAGTGCGAGGATGTCGTCTTCTTCCGCTCCGCAGTACATTACTACTACTAGGCTCTTCCGTCGATACATCGATGATGATCAGTTTTAGGCGCCTCAGCGCAACATGGAATACAAACTCAAACAAATAAACTTACTGTTGTGTTAGCCTGAAGCCACGCAGGAGTCCATTGTGGGACAAGACAAAGACTGATTTATTTACCACGAGCCTGCATAATTATAGATCAGAGAGAGAGAGACAATACGGAGAGGGACAATACGGCGACAAACACTATACACAACACACGGAAAAGGGATATATTGTGTAGATACATATTTTCTCTCTCTTCCCCTCCTTCCCCGGAAAGGGAGATGTTGTGTATAGTGTTTGTCGCCGTATTGTCCCTCTCCGTATTGTCTCTCTCTCTCTGATCTATAATTATGCAGGCTCGTGGTACATAAATCAGTCTTTGTCTTGTCCCACAATGGACTCCTGCGTGGCTTCAGGCTAACACAACATGGTGGCAGCTGTGGTTTCTACGACTGTAGGAAAGAACCCTTCGCCTCTAGCCCGCAGCCGAGCATCCCCAGCTCCGGGACAGTCTCGTCATCGTCGTCGTCATGCGTCGTCGTCGTCAGTCTGAGAAGTTTGGTTGTTAGTCCAGTCATGCCCGGCATGCACTACGCTCTACTCGTTTCGTCCTACTCGTGGACTCTACTCTTCAGCAGCAGTCACGCCACTGCTCCTTGTCTCTGCTGACTGTCGTCCCTGTCCAGCCAGTTCGTCGTCCTCGCATGCTCAATCTCTCGGCAGCTCCGATAAGCCTGCTGTTGAGCACTGATCGCCATGTCCCCATGCCGTGCTCAACCCATCCGTCTGGGAAAGATAGAGGTGTCACGGTACGAGCGCTAAGGATCGACCAAGTCTGACTCGTGACGGAAGGAACTGCCAGTCGTATGCCGGTTAGCTGTAGCTCATTCCCTCTTTGTGTTTCATTTGTTTTCGTTTTGACCTTGTGTGCTTCTTTATTCTTTCTCTTCACTCTCGATCACCTCATTTTTTGGCCTCGAACTTCTTCAGTTTTCAAAACAACAAAATTCTCTTCTGTGCAGATGCTAGGCATGCCCTGCTACTAACAG